GAGACGGCTGAAACATAGAGAGCATGGTGTAAGTTAGCAGCACCCTGCTAATGCCAACGGCAGATTAAACCCCAGCACCTTATCTGGGGCTGTCCCCGTGTTTTTGGCACTTCCAGTCCCGTAACTGGTGATATTTTGATGCAGTCAGAACCGCGAGTGCAGGGTAATAAATTTTTTTTTTCGAAGTGGTCACAGAGCTTACAAGAATTAGCCCTGGTTTCGGGGAATTAAACAACTTTTTGCAGCAAACAAACCGTAACAAGGGAACACGCGAGCCGCTCCGGCTCCCGCGGCGGGGCTTTTCGCAGCGCGCCTGTTTAGATTTTTGGTTTGGGCTCTTATCTCTGTTGTGCCCATATAAATCCAGAGTAACTTCAGTGAGATTATTACAGATTTATACTGATGTAAACAAAGATTAGTGTTAATCTGGCCATCAGGCTTTAAAGGGAAAATGCCATGGGTTATGTTTCAAATGTTTATATCAAGGATGTTCAACATTTAATAGTAGAGAAATAATTATGCAAGAAGACATTAAGTGAGTGCTTTTAAAGGATAGCTGGAGTAAAGCAGAGCTAGTGTGGTTGGGGAGTGATGTGATAAATACCAAAGATTGCTCTTGTCCCTCAGGCTAATGTGAAGAATTCACCAGAGGAATGACACTCACATTTTTGGCCATTAAATGCCACACTTTTCTCAGAGTAGAGGGCGGCGTCGGGCAGGCCTCAGGGAGAGAGCCCGTGAGGGGAGCGAAGGGCCGTTGAGTTGCCGCTGAGGGGAAGGGCCGTAGGAGCCGCTCCGTCCGCGCCTGGGGGGCTTTGGGGCGGTCGGTTGTTCTTTAAGGCCTGGCAGCCCAGTGTTCCAAGAAACCCTTTGCACGTTTATGCAAAGAAGTTCCTTTTTTTCTTTTTTTTTCTTTTTTTTGTCTGGCTGTTTGTGCTGTGAGTTGATGCGGACCGTTTCTCGGAAAGAAAGCGGAGTCGGGGAGTGGTCTCGTGGCTGACTTTTTACTTTCCCTGCCTGTCACTCATCGCCCTCCTGCTCAGTTGACTGAAACCGGGGGCAGTGAAGCTTTGCCATCCGTCGAAGCCCTGTATCCCACAGTCGGTGTTAGCAGATGCCGTCGTGTGTACCCGTAACATGGGTAAGACAGAACCTGCAGTATGCGGCTGTCAAGGATTTACTGTTTGCTGGTGTGTGAGGAACCATGTCCGGGCTCGCAGAGCCGCTTCTCACGAATTCCTGTTGATGTGAATTAGTGCTGGGCGCTTGGGCTGCCGGCCGTACCCGATACAACACAGATGCTGTGGGGTCGTTCATTGTTTGTCTCTTTTCCTGAATTGTGTAATGGTAGGGGCTGCTGAAGAAGGCGGTAACTGAAGAAATAAGAAACATACATGTATTGGTATATAAACAGAGGAATTGGTGACTTTGATGTGTGTGTGTGTGTGGAAATCCTTAACTGTGCAGTGTAGTGAATAAATGTCATAAATCTGTTCACGTGAGTTCATTAAGTCAGAGCTGCAGCCATCCTTCAAGCTGACTGTTTATGACACACTAGTTAACTTCCACTTAAGTGAACTTGCATATAAACTGGAAACATACATTTTATTTGCTATTCATATGCATCTCTGGTGTGTACCACAAATACTGTATTTGTCTAGTGCTGGTAGTTCATAATTACAAAACCATACAGTCTGTGGACAGCTTCACCTGAAACTGAAAATGTTGAAATAAATGAATCCAATTTTTGTTCAATTCCATTGCCAAGCGTACTGGATACACTACCCTTCTAGCCAGTATCTCTGGTATTGGGAAGCAGTGATTAAAACTCTCTTAGATATTTAAACCTGCTGGTCTTGAGACAGTTCTGTTTGGTGGAGGTCCTGTGAGAGTACCTGGCAGATACCTGATGTGTTACTTTTTCCCAGATGGTTGAGGGAGTGAGAAAAGGGTTACCACAAACGTCTGCTTCAAAAACTTCCTTAGAGAATGAGCATAAAGTCTTTGTTCTCTCTCCCACCTCCATTCTTTTCAGGTGTTCTTCCAGTGGCTTTCCCATGGGCTGAGTCTGAGACGTGCTGAACGCTTCAAATCCAGAGCCTGCCACAGCTGCTGAGAGCTCCTCTGTCTTTGGAAAAAAAGATAGGAAAAAATGTTGTGAATGTCTCCAGGCCTCCTACCTTGCACTGCGTAGCTGTAAGGCAATACAGTCCGATTTAGTTCCCCAGCCTCCTCTCTAGTTCCCACTCTGCTATTTTAAACCTGCAATTTTCTTATCTTTATTGCTGTTGTTTGTACTTGGGTAACAGTGACTTGTGTTACGGGAGGCTATCTGCATCCCTAACACAGGTGTCTGCAGAGGAGAGGTTGGTACGTCCCTCTGCGCAGATAATGGGCACAAGAAGCACCCCCTTTGCCTTGTGGTGCTGCTGGTACTGCTCGTTGAACTGCGGTGCTGACAGCGTGTTGTCCTGATCGTTGTCATCAGTTTAGTGGGTTATGACTTGGAAGCAGAGGTGGGGAGATACTTTCTTGGCTGTTTACTGTGCTTTCACAACCAGTATTGTCCTGAGATAGGTGGCTGCTGTTTACCATGCAACTTCAGGTGTTACGGAGAACACCTGTCTGGTAACTGTACATTAAATTTTTGTCACAGGTGTCTTTCAGTTCCCTTCTTCTGCATACCTTGTTATTAATCTAACTTGCAGATTGGATCAAGTTTAAGGAAAACAGTGTGGAAGTATGTTGCCAAGAACTTCGAAAATTTACTGCAACAGCAAGTTTCTGCTTTGTAGATGAGGCAGTTGTACCTCTAGTCAGCCAGATCACTGAGAGTATGTATGTATTTTTAACATTGAATCAATGTGCTAAGACTGTATGGAGAGATGCTGGATTTGGGTCCAAATTAGACTGATTTAGTGTTTGTAGGACTGTTGTAGGAATATTATAAACTTTTATTTTTTTCTATCTTCACATTCTTTCTTCATCTCTCTTCAGCAACCCCCTAACATGACAAATTCATGTTTCATTTGAAGATTTTCTTAACTAAGCAATGGAAAAAAAATCTTTCTGAACTTTGAGGGCCATTCTCTCCTTTAGGAGAACGGTGGTCTCTTTGGGACCTTGTGGATTTTTTGCCCCTGAACTGAGTAATCTGATTGAGATTCACTTCATTTCTTCCACAGGCAAAGGCAGGGTCTTTCCTCTCTTTCATTATTGCCAGCTGAGCTTCATGTTAATCAAACTTGGTGTTCTCTGCTTGGCACAGAGTTCAGTAATCCAAGCTATGATTTACAGTGCTGCAACCGTGCAGCGTGTCAGCACAGTGTAGAGCACTGTCATCTCATCTTTATTGAGATGTCATTTGTCTTTTGGGAAAGTGTATTCATCAAATCACCTGAATAGTGCTGTGTCTTGCAGGTCAGCAAGAACGGCTTTGGCAAAGAAGTCACAAACTAATCAGGAACCCTAAAAGTCTTGAAAAGTCCCAACACCACAAACAAAAGTTCAGTTGCTACATATTCTAAAATGGACTGTTCCATGTTCAGCTGGAGAAGGGGTTTGAGCTGGCTCAGCATGAGGGGTTTCATGGCTGCCTGCTGGAGAAGTGACAGCTTGTGTTCCTCCGTTCCCCTCCAACCCTGTGTCCTGCCATCCTCCTTCGCCACGATGTTTTGTGTGGTCGGGGCGGGAAAGGGGCGAGGAGAAAAGGATGCTGAGCAAGCATGTCTGACACGGGGAGAAGTCCTGAGGAGTGGGAGGTAGGGCAAGGAAAAAGCTTGAGAATGGTCGTGCAGAACTAAATTATGTAGCAAAAGAGAAGATCCTTTCTGTTTGGTCGGAGATGCGTTTTTAGACTGGCAAAAACAACAAATTCTGCTGTTCTGTGCTGTTAATCCTTAAATGCCCAGAACTATTTGTCAGCACTGGATCTGTGCCTAGCTTTCTGTGCTAAAGCTGCTAAATTCGTCACAGTTCTTTTGTATTAGTCTTCCCCAGACAGGAAGACTAGTTTTATTTCTTTAAAAAAATCCTCTGTGACTAAATTTGTCTTGGTTTAGCCCTCTTCTGAACATTTAATCTGACTTCTAAGCCTCCAAGCATCGTTATAAATGCATGTTATAGCAACCAGAGCAATTAGAGTAAATCCAAGCACTGTGATGGATATACTTTAAATAGGTTTTATGTGAAACTTAAGCGTATTTTTGGATTCAGCTAACACTGGGGCTTTTTTATTTTTGTTGAAGCCCGATTCCACCTTTGGGGGAGGTAATTCTTATTTTATTGTTTATGTAAGATGTGTAGAAAACTTAAGAAATGCACATGGGCTTGTGGAGATTTGGATGATATCTTCAGAGACTGGCAGAATAGATTTCCTGCATTTAAAACTGTGCTGTTTGGGTAATACGTTAAATACATGAACACTTAGGTAATCTCTGTTATCCATTTTTAGGAACAGATACACAGTTTAGTGGACAAGCATGTGGAATTCACTGCAACTCTTTTCAAGATGGTTGTTCTTTGGAAGAGATGATGGCTGCTTTGAAATTTCTGTAGTGTCTTTTTATTAAAGGAGAATTCCTAGTAAGAGATACTGTTCTGTCTGCAATAATAATGCTTCTTATTAGACACAGAGAACCAAATCTCTGCATATAGACTGTTTAGGATCATTTATTGTAAAGCAGTGGCCTCTTTGTAACAAGTAACTAGTCTTTGCATCTGCATTAGTGAAAATAAATAAGGTAAGAAAACTATTATAAATACTTCTCTACTTTCTCTACTAAATGTAAGATGATAGATGTATAGAAGTATAGATGATATGTGTATGTACGTATTTGCAGGATTAGAGCCTGAAAAAGAAAATAAAGTCTATTGAAAACCTGAAAATGAAGGGAAAAGTGTATTCCAGTGAAAGAAAATTTCATAATTCGAGACAAACTTTGTTTTTTGCAGAGGCAGCAGTATTGTGACTTGTACTCATACAATCGGCAACTGGAAAAATGCGGGGTTCTAAAAGTAACTTGATATCTTTACGTGAGGATGTTACAAATGATACTTCAGACTTGAGTGAAATGAAAATTTCAGATGAAAAAGGATCTGTTGAAAAAAGAACAATGACTCTGATTGGGAAGAAAGGCTATCACGACTCTGTATACAAAAACGCAGCGAAGATTTTTCAAAGCATTCGTACTGAAAAGCGTAAGGATAGAATATTGGTGCGGTATGGTGATGGCTCAGCATCTCCCATGCTGACTTTTAAAGATCAGTATTCCCAGCGTGTATCTTATGAACTGGCTTTCAGTGCTCTAAAATGTAAGTACAAAACTTTTCCAAGAATTGCGAACAGAAATGGTGCAGCAGAGAAAATATGGGGGAAGCGAAAAGTGTTTAGTTTCTGCCTGACGGCAGAGATCTGGGGAGGTTTTTTTGTTAAACTACAAGTTATTGCTAGACTACTTGTGTCCCTCAAATATTTAAATATATCTAAGTGTTGTTAGTATTTCATGAAATCAAACATTTAGACTCTTACTTTTTTCATGTAAAGGGATTACACTTATTTAGAGTTGCTGTTTGTGATTGAATTTGCCCTTGCTTTTCATGATGTTTAAACTTGCAGCTTTTTCTTTAGGAAGTTTTCTTTTTCTTCCATAGAATCTTGTGGATTTCATAGCATAACTTGTCAATATTTTCTTTTTTTTTTCACAGATCAAAATCTTCTTGAAGAACTTTTGGTAGATAGTTGTGTTTACCCATGCCATTCAATAGTAAGTGAACATTTCTGTGAGGAAATAAATTTTTTATTTTCTGAGTTGATGTAATTAGAATATTTTATAAGGATTCCGCAACATTCTTCAAAGCAGCTCTTTTGTTTTGAGCTATATGGTAGCCTGAGTCTGAAATATTACTGTCCTTTTTAGTTAGTTGTCTAAAGCATTGATCTCCAAGGTACTAAGTGTATTTTTGTGAGGTTCTTGTTGCACCTTACTGCTGAGAATCAGAACCTTTGAAGAAAGAAGGTAGGAGAGTGAACCAAAATGCTTCTTGCAGCTTGATGCTGCCGCTCAGTGATGTTGTCCATGAGCCAGTCCCTGTCCATGTGCTTTGCTTCCCAGCTGTGTCCCCTTGTGAGTGGGGGGAAAAAAAGTCGTGTTCCTTTCCTGTCCGTGGGAGTTGGAAAGCACGAAGTGAACCCCATCAGATAAAAGAGGGCATTGAACCCGTGTTTCATTTCCTGGGCAACCTGTACTGTGTACAAATAATTATACTGGCAAAAATTAGTCCAGTTGACTCTCTCAGCATGCTTTCCTGCTTTGACATGAAAAGAAGATCTAGAGCTGGCAGAGTGATTTGCTATTCCTTCCAGTTTAGTCTTTGATGCCTTGGGAAATTACAAGATTAATTTGAACTGATGTTATTTGTGGAGGTAGATGTGAGCAGGCAAATGATCTAACACATTTGATTTTTGGCTTGTTTTTGTAAGGAAGTAAGAACTACATGTCAGCATTTTGTATTTCGTAGTATTTCCCTAGTAACTTGAGTTTTCTAGTGAATTTCAGTCATACTTATGAGAAGGTAGAATTTTCGAAGGCATAAGAACTGTAGGAACTTCATGAAAAGAGGTAGACAGGAGTAACTGAAGTGCTGTTACTTACAGTCCCCAAGAAGGTGATGCTCCCTAGTTTAAACATTTAGACGTGGGAAGGAGATTTTGTGTATGTCCCGACTGCAGAATGGTTATCATAAATGAGCTTATCGGTTGTTATACACCAAAGAACGCTGCAAGAGACAAACTGATAGCTTAGCTATTCAAGGAACTATTTTATGAGGAGAAAATAATTTCAGAGTTTAAACTCTGATAACTTTAAAAGTTGTTAAGGTATAGTACATTATCTGTGTGTATGGTGAATGTTTTTAATTTTGATAAGCTAAATAACTTTTAAGTTGTGTATTTGAGTTTTTAAAAAATTCTTCAGTGTTTCACTAACTCTCCATGAGGAATTACTTTCATAGCCTTACAAATAAGCATTTCATTGGAGTTTTTAATGCCTCTTACATGGGAGACTGCTGTTTGATGTGGATCGTTGTGCAGAAGTAAGGCATGCTTTGTGTCACTTTCTCTATCCAGCTGATTTTCTGTTGCAGCCAGATGAATTAACCAGCTTGCTTGTTGTGATGCTTTATGACCTACAAGACCGAAAGTTTCAAGCACGAGAGATCTTTGATGAAGAGGAACCTGTAGCAGAAGTTCGGAAAATAGAGCGTTACCTGTACAGGTATACATGCAGCGAATTTTTTTTGTTGATACCTATTAGCAGAAATACAGATTTGTCTAACTGCGCCTTTTTTTTATAATTATTACACGTCTTTAATTTCCAAATTTTGTGGGCTTTGTTTTTATTTTTAATGAGAACCTAGTTTGAAGGGAAACTTTCATATTCCTATAGTTAAGAAAAATGCAGCTAACAAACCATCTTTATATTGTGGATTATTTTGCTAGAATCTTGCCTTATTTTGGAGTTGTTGAAACTTTTTTCATATAATTTTAGAAAAGAAATTAAATACTCACTAAACATTCCTACGTACGAGTGTAATAGAGTCAAGGGGTCATGGAATGGAATAACATCCACTTATTTACCAATACTTCTGTTAGGGAAGTTTGTTAAGTATCTATTATTTTAATCAATTACAACAACAAAAAGAGGATATGTAAAATAAACCTTTTAATTAGTGTTCAAGTATTTCTTTTGTCAGTCTGTTGACGAACTCAACAGGCATTTGTTGGACAAAATTGTGTTGCTGCTGGATAGCTGAACAGCCTAAAAAGTTCATGCGTGTCATAAGTGCAAGGTGTTTCTGGAGGGCAGTAAGTAATATACCTTGAGATCTGAAGTAGCTGACCAGCAATGTGCATTTGGTTTGAATTATCACATATCAAGACTATGCATAAAGCTTGTGGGAAGGAAAGACTGGGAATATTTCCTCTGACATTTTCATGTAATAGTAATAAAACTGACTCCTGGTTGCCATCGTAGCTGTGTTGGTTCTGTACCCATTTAGAGGTCAGCTTTCATCAAATGCTCGTTCTGCATATACGTGTGTTTAAATCTTCAAACATGCAAAAAAATCTGATGATTGTGTTCCAGAGATTGTAGTTCCAAAGCATGTTTGCGTTGTTTTTTAGCTGTCTGAGAACATTGGCGTATTCGAGAGTCATCTGTCATAATTCCAGTGCCGTGTGCATTTAAGTAAAACAATCTTAGCTATGTACTCCTACCTTGCATCTACTGTTGTCTGGGGTAGAAGATGTCCTATAACTGTATTTTCTGTAGCAGCTTGCAAAATGAGGCCTCACTTCTGGTTTTGGTTTCCGAGCAAGATAGTATTGTAATGGAAATGTTGCATGTTAATAGCTGATGTAAACATTTATAAAACTGTGACTAAACTTGTGACTGTGTTTTTGTAGTTTTAGGACCAAATTGGCAGCTGCGCTAGCAAGATGTCGCATCAAACATGATGCTCTTTCAGTTGAATACATTCTACCAGAAAGCATACGGAAGCAGGAACAAAGGGCTTCTGCTTTACCTTTATGTGTTTGGATAAACACTTTTAAAATCAGGTAAGGTCTTTAAAGTGTCATCTGATATCGATGTTTTTACATGTGAAGTGATATAGTTTGCTACACACTTGTTTTAGAATTTCCGTGTTATTGTCTAACCAGTAATTTAAGTTTCTTACAGTAAATTCTGCTTAGTCCAGTGCCATTGTAGTTTTTGTATCTTGCAGTAATGGTATTCATAAACTGTGACAAAGTTGCGAAACATTTTTTCTTACTATTCTGTTGCTTATGTGGGTCTATCACCAACTAAATGAGGAAATAAAGTTAGAAAAAACTATATGGGTGAGTAAACTCTGATGAGAAGGAGAAAACTTCCTTAAAGGTGGATGGATTACTGTAAGCCATAACCTTGGCAAAGGGCATTAAGACAGATACAATACTTAAAACTGGTGTTTATTCTGTAAGGATAGTGTAAACTTGAAATAAAAATAGTATTTTAAAAATCCTTATATTCAGTGGGCTGCTATATATGTAGCACTGGTGTTCCTAGTTCTCTTCTAACTGATACATGAACCATACCAGGTTATCCTGTTATCTGTTTTGTTAGACAGGTAATCCATTTTATTATGTTTTCAATAATTTTATTTTCGTACTCTTGGACCAATGCTCTGTGCTTAGGTTGTAGGCTCTTCAAGATAGGGGTGTCTTGCTCTGGTTGTGATTTTGCAACCCTTAAATAAGATTGAACTAAAAGCTGCTGCGTTGATCCTACGTTTAATGTACCATATAAGCTTATGTCAGTGTCTGAAAGTGCATTTCAACAAACAAGTCTTGATGTATATACCTTTAAATATTTATGGTAAACGAATTGCAGACCTCAGCATTTATGCCTTCATTACATTTACACAAGGATTATTTCCATTATCAGCCATGAAATTCATTGGCGAGCTGGGCTAAATTGAAAGCAATTGAAAGAACTAAACGGTTCCAGCAGTAAATTTGTTACAGTGTCTGCTGAGCATATGGACATTTATGTTTTGATGCTTTGAATCATCCCCTGGAGACACATACCTCTTCCTTAATTTATTTTATCAGGCTTACTAACTTAATTGTTTCAAACCAGAATTTATATGCCTAAAATAGAATGAATTCCCCTCCTGCATTAGGTGGTGTTTCATTTTATATGTATATATGTGTGTGTGTGTATATATGCAGATGTATATACACACACTAAAAAAATAAAAGGCAAAAATCCATATAATCAATGTGAACTATATTGCTTAAGTAACTCTTGTATATTTAATGGTCAGAGTTGTATGTTAACAGCCCTCAAGATGTTTTCAGAGATTTGAAGACGAAAGGATTCACAAGAGTTGAATCTGTGTCAGACTTTGACCGTTATACATACTGTATGGACCAGCATTGCCATGATGTATTGGTTTTTCCTTCCTCTCTGAAAGAAGAGCTGCTTAATTTAGATCTTTTTGCAGATTGCAAACTCTTACTGCAGGTGAGTTGATGCCAACCTTGAGTAATATGATCTGCAAACTAGAATAATGCTCTGCGTTAGAATGAGGTCATGTATCGTGTGACTGTCCTGTTAAATCAGTCGGGCAGCAAAAAACTTTCATAAGGTTTTAGGCATTTTTAGTAATCAGAAGGTTAGAAATTGTTTCAGTTGCTAAATTTAGCATGCAAATGTTAATGCTTATCATTGATAGCTGTAATTAAGTTAGTACAGTGTTTTAAATTTAATCTTAAAACTGTTGAAATAAACATCAAAAGTGGTCGAAGAGGCAGCCTCACTTCTGAAAATGTGAGGAAAGTTTCTGTGTACCCCTGTGTGGATTAGCCCAGTTTGCAGATAACGATATGCTAATATTACAATAGCTCTTCCTCTTCAGCTGCATATTTGCAATGGAGTGATGATGCTTCTTTGTATTTTGTGCAGTTGTGGTTCCTAAATCTCCATAAACCCCCCTGGTCTTCTTCCTGACTTGCCATCATTAGCTGCTCCAGGCAAGACTGGTGGGAGGTTCCTGTTGTGGATCGGTGGTTTGGCGTAACCATGCAACAGCACACACACCACAAATTATCTGAAGCGTCTGATGATTCTTGAGTGCTTAGCAGAAACATTTCAAAGAGCATTTTCTGGAAATTTTAGCCTCAAAATTTATTACCCAACTTACAAAGTAGTTCAGTATTCAATATTCAATTTCAGTATGCACATTTTGAATAGAAGACTTGCAGAAAAGAACTATACATGATAGCCCCAGAGGTCACGGGAACAAATTCTGTTACTGCTTAAGAACATTCAAAGCAAGGAAGCAGAGCCCTCAAAAACTCCAATCCCTCTTTGCTGGGGTAGGGTGGTACTTCAGTGCTCTAAGTGGATGTGTAGACATTGATGTGAACTTAGAGGTTTAGAGCTTAGCGCTACCCCCGCCATCCCCCATCATCTGTGTTTGCCAGATTCGGTGTAAAACATGGTACCTGTGGTCCATATCTTCACTCTGCCTTTTAAAGTAGTTTGATGGAGGTAATGTTTGATCTGTCTCTTTTTCTCCTCATCACCTGTAGTATGAGATCGTTTACTCTTGTTGAGAGGTCCCTGTGCTTTCTGCATTCAAATCTCCCTCTGTGTTCTTCAAATTTCAGCAAAATCTTGGTCTTTGATCTGTAAGGGTTTTATTTCTCCTATGATTAGTCAAGAACTATGTGAACAGTTTTGCATTTCTCTGTTAAGCTGCCTCTGAGGATGAATTCTGCATATTGTGGCCTATGTCTTTTCTGGAACTGGTTGTTGCCAAGAGTTTCTTCTTATGGGGATGGTACACACTTACATTGTTTTCGCCTATGGATATTATGCTTTCTTATGCATTAGATTTATTTAAATTTAGTGAGTGACTTAGTAAGATGTTTGGTTTTGTACTTGATTTAATTCCATATTAGCAGCTATGCTTGACTGGTTTTTCTCCTCCCTTCTTCCCCGTTTGTCGTGAAAACAATGAAATACTTTCCTAATTTGGAAAAGAAGGCTGGCATTCATAGAAACCAAATTAGTTGGTCATACTTAAATGTTTGTGTCCTTATTTTCCAGGATAAGTCTTGCAGCCTCGCTGTACACTCTGCACAGGCGCTGTTGAATACAGGGGATGACATCATAGCGGCTCACGCAGGTTCCCATCTGACCATTGCCCATATGGCCGTGCTGGCAAATCACAGCTTGTCCACAGTTTTCGTGTGTGGTGTGAAATCTTCAGAAAAAGCAGCAGAATTGAGGAACTTGTTCAGTCACATGGGGTGTAAAAGTAGGTATTAAAACAGTTGGTATGCATCAAGTGTTGTAATATAGATGTTTGTGCTATCTGTAAATATGGCATAATTCTGTCAGAATTCAGAGATCCCTTGTTTGAGGACTCAGGGAGGGCAGTAACAACTTATTATTTGTCACAAGGTGAACTGATAGCTGTTCAGCTACAGTCAAGTTCACCAGAGGCTGCACCTTAATCACGTCATAGGTGCAGGCTCTGAAATGCCAGGGTAAATTTTCCCATGTAAGTACTGACTGTATAGCAGTAGGTGTAGATGGTAGCTGGGAACTCTTGGGTGTGTTTATTTGGTGTCTTGGCTGTTGCTTTCCGTCTGATTTTCAGCTGTTTGAGTGTTAACCCAAAGCACGTGCGCTTGTCCAGTTTACCCGGAGGACACGGTCAGAACAGAGCGCAGCAAGGCTCTGGAGCCCTGCTAGCAGCCTTCCCAGTGGGAGACCCCAAGCTCTAGCCAGTCCTTCGACCTGTTTGAAATCAGCAGGGAGGGTCTGGGTCTGGCAGGCTCTAGCTCTGTGGAAGGCTGCGTAACACCGCTGTCTCTTCACCGTTACCACACTGAAATTGTGTGGGCTTGCTTGCACGTAGAACTGTGGAGCTTTCCCCTTTTTTCCAGATATTCAGTTGTTACATGAAGACTTTACTGAGACTGGACCAACAGACCCGAGACTTCAGAAAGCAACAGTTATTTTGCTGCTGCCGCCGTGCTCTGGGCTGGGTGTTGGCAATCCAATAGACTTTATTTTAAATGAAAATGGAGGTAACTTTTGGTGCAATAGCTAGCTCCTGCTTTCTGGTAGAAATAGGATTCAAGTATTGTGGTCTGGACATTGTAGCTGCTCCAGTAAATTGTATCATTTTATGAAAAAGCCCTTCCTTATTTTAAATACTACAAAACGTATATATGAAATAACTTGCATAATTCTGTGTGTCTGCTTCAGTTTGACAGCATGAAGTTTGAGGGTTATTCTGAGGAGCAGAGTGCATATAGCCCATCTTTTAAAGTAAAAAGTCTATAGACAGAACATTTATTTCAAGATACCAATGTATATATAATTTTCTGTTGATTACATTCCTTTATTGACTATTTGTGTAAGTCTGTTCACTGTACAATTTTCATTAAAGAGAAGCAAATAAGGGGCAGTAGTAATTATGGGTAAAGAGGGGAAGAAGAATCATGTAGGCACTCCTGAGTATTGTAGTTTGTAAAACCTACCTTCCCACTGCACTGGTGGTAACCAGGTCTGTCACCAAAGCATTTTCCACAAACAGCTGAATTTTAAGACGCCAAGTTGCAATAACAAATTTTGCATTTAGATGCAGGATTGCTAAGAGACCTTTTCCGGGGATCTGTGTCTGAAGATAAACTCAATATTCTTGCTGAGAGGCAGCTGAATGAGTTGATGCACGCAATGGAATGTAAGTGTGCTAGCTGTCCGGTTTCTGGGAAGACCTTGTGCTGTCAATTCCATTGTACTATCACCAGTTTTTATATCGTTAAAAATACACTGATTACTCTGTTAGTTAACAGTAAGTGTGTAACCAAAACCCCTAAATAATGATCTCCTCATGTTTGAAGGTGTTTCTGTGTCCTAGTATTCACCAGCCATTACCACAATAATCTGCAGCGTTGTGTGGAGAACTGGCTTAGTCGTACTCTGCTCTGGAAAAGTTGTAAATGTTGTCTGACTCCGTCTGCCTGCTGCCACTTTCTTTCCCCTCCTTTGGTAGCCGTGTGAAAACACTGCGTGCAGCTTTGTGTTTGTGCTGAAACCTGTGAATATTTGAAAAAATTTTAATTATTGAAAAACACTAGAGATTGAATATTAATGTATGCAGGAGGATATATTTTGTTGGTAAAAGTGACATCCATGCATAATTTTTATGATGCTTTCAGTCCTTACCAAACCACTGTATTTATGAGGAATTTGAACAGTGGAAAATTTTTGTTTGTTTTGTAGTTAACAAAGTACAAAGTATTGTTTACTGCACTTGTTCAGTTTACCCAGAAGAAAATGAACTCGTAGTGAAAAAAGCAATGGAGTCTGGAGTGGAAGGAAATAAAGTACAACCATATAGGTACGGAACGAGTCGTTTGGTCTATGGGAAAATTGAAGTACAACTTTAATTTGTAGCATAATTCTTATCCTAGACTGATCTGTACCTTGCATTTGATTAACACTTAAAATAGTTTTTTGCCACCTCTCATTCCATTCAATGTTACGAGAGAGCCGAGTAGTATCCTCTTGACTTTTTAATCTAATCTTTTTGTTCCCATCTGAAACTGGTTGGAAATAACATTGTGGTGAACTTCTAACAGAGCTATCACCTTCATCCTGCCGGTATTCAGAGATTCTTAAAATGTGAGAATAATGTGGAAGAATAAGAACCTCTGCTGTAGGATTGCTCATCCTTGTATTCAGATGAATACAAGGGGGGACAGGTTGCAGTAAGAGAACATCCTGTGCAATGGTAACAAATACATATGAAAAAAGTATGCGTTTGTGTATACTTTATATCATACACGACCTGTCGGCTGGAGCAGTTGTTAAAAGACTGACAGGTTCTTTCTGGACTTTCAGCCACAGCGGATAAATGCAAACAGTTGGCACGTGCTTGCACATAGCTGTAACAGTCGCTTAGAGGATGCAGGTTAAGAGTTTATGTTGCCAAAAGCATAGGGGAGTAATACTGTATTTTTCAATTTTGTATTATCTTAGATGATGTTAATGACTTGGCCATCATGGGGAAAGGTACTGTGGTTCAAGATACCATTCAGTGTATTAAAATTTTGCATGATTAAAATGGTAAATATTAACTGTGGCCAGTCCACAGAATTTTTGAGAGAGGTGTGTTATGCGTAGCGTTAAGATACAGTACAACAAAATGCATCTTTCTTGCAAATCACCAATAGAAAAGAGCAACCTGCTTAAAATTTTATGCTAAATGGGATGAAATCAGGGTATGTCTTGCCAGCGATGCTGTGCTAGTCCAAAAGCATTTATGGACTCTTGCTGTAAACTGTGTTTTCCTTTGGGATTTGAAATTTTCTGAAGCCTGGCATGTCTTGACTTCTACGCAGCTATTACCCTATGGGGAGAACTAGGGGGACCTTGGAACATAATGTTCTCTGAATTATTTGAACACAAATAATACATAAATTCGTTACATATATTACAGAATTTATATATTTTTAAAAATCTGACCTTTTTTCCCAGAGCTTTAATTTTTTCAGAAAAAATGTCCCCATTGTCTAAAACACTGCTCCCCCCCCAAAGCCAAAACAAATCTATTCAGTGTTTTGCAGAAACATTGTGAAACTTGTTACACCACCAAATCGTACTTTTACTTTCAAATACAAGGCAATTTCAGATGGTCAGAAAGGGAGAACAAAATTACATCAGGATTTTTGAGTAAATTTGTGACTGAAGACTGATTGAACTTCATAAATGACGATTCCAGAATCACTTCCTCCTTCCCTGTCACACATATCCTGGATGTTCTCATGCCTCGTTCTTGCCACAATAAAGCTGCCAGTAACCAGCATGAACAGAGCAGTAACAGAACACCATAAATAAAGTACAGACTGTGATTATGCTTGTCTTAAGATGAAAGCTCAAGCCATTTACGATGCATGTACTACTTACGACAGTTCCTTTTACGGGCTCCTTAGAATTAATTAGGTAACTTACTTGACTACTAGAATGCAGGATAGAATGAAAAACTCTTGCAGAATTACTAGCCCCTGTGTTCACAGGAGTGGCTCTGAGAGGTGAGTTATGCTAATAAAATGTCCCGTGTGCTCAGCACAGATCTGCCTAATATCAGTTTCTTTTTCCAAGAAAATTGAGAGCTTTCAGGAAGCTCTTACAGAAGTTGTGCTTATGTGTGTTGTATCTGCTGGCATTACTCTGGAGTGGGGCTGAACAAAATAAGGCTGTGCTGGAGTTTGGGGTCGTACAGCTGGGCTTGGGGCTGTGACGTCGTCAAGGTGGTTTCAAACATGTACCCGCTGTCTAAGCTGAGCTTACCTGAAGGACATGGCAAACAGTTTACAGCAAAGGCTTTACCTTACCTGAGGGTACACATGGCAAACAGGTGCGCATGGAGGAGATGCTAAGCCATGCATTTCCCTTTGGCTTATCAGATTTAATTTCTGCATCAATTTTCAGAGCCAGACCATCCATGAAAGGGATTCCTGGTCACAGTCATCTGTATACGTCAATCAAAGTAAAGATTGTCACTTCTTTTACATTGGATGACCAGATCTAAAAGCAAAAATCTCCTGTGTGTCTCTGGGCATAGAATTTTATTTAGTAATGCAAGGAGGATGTGAGCCTTGTAGTCTGTTTTACTAAGTTCTGAGGTACTTACAAAAAAATTCAGATTATGGTGAAGACTTGGGAACAAACAGTTTTGCAGACTTCCCATTAGCAATGGAGTAGCCGGCCAAATCTGGATATTGCTTACAAACACGAAATGCATTTCTCTGTAACCATCCTTGAACGAGTTCTGTTCCAAGAGGATCAGTGGAGCACTGAGGAGGGGCTGTATCTTCCAGTCCTCAGGCAACGCGAGGGGGGAGCGGGGGATAAAAATTGTGTTCAGGACATTTTGATAGCGTTTTTCTGTACGGAAACAGCTTAGTACTGGTTTAGCAGCCGTACGAGCCAAGTCCTTGAGGCGTGTCAGTACTGGGCCCAGCCTTGTTTAACTTCTTCATCAGCGACCTGGATGAAGAGTTAGAGTGTACCCTCAGCAAGTTTGCTGATGACAAAACTGGGAGGAGTGGTGGATACACCAGAAGGCTG